CACCCACACCCACCCTATGTCCATTTCTTGCTCGGAAACAGATTTCTTCAGTCAAAAATGGTTCAATCCAACGCAGTTTAATGCACTTATTGCGAATATACTAGTTTTCTCGATCAAAATTTTTTTCTCAGAGCCAGAAACATTGAAAAATATATGAACAATCTAGGTTTTTTTGGAAACCCAAAATTTTATGTGGGTCCATTGTTAATTTTACGAGACTAGCTGCTCGAACCATACTGTAAAAAAAATAATTTTTCTATCAGATGTTAAACGTGCAAATTAAAAAATATTTTTTTCTATTATGTAGAGCTCGGCTTTGAGACTCAGAAGATGTACTTGATTTGTCTGTCGAATAGTTTTATTTTGTCAGGTATCAATTTCCTAGGTGACATCACGATTTTCTGACTAATTTTTGGGCTACCGGTTTATCAAGTATCGATAGATAGATGGATGGGACTGTCTGTAGCGTTAGAAAGAAGCAGCAGGAGCTTGTGAGATAAGTGACAAGAAAACTTTGGACATCGACAGTATTTTAGTCCATATTGATAAATCTATTCGTATCTAAATAGCATATCAATGAAATAGCTACAAAACAAATAGTTCTTCTTCATGGCGAAGAACAATTAGTACGATGGAGTGATATTATTTGATATATTCTAACATATTTTCATGTTCGAGATCTTGGTAATGTAAGTGGTCAACGTGCTGATCAAATTGCTTGTATTGATAATCTTATTCTAACACAAAATAAAATAAATATCTATCGTGATGCTTATGCCTACTGGCAAACAATAGGTACATTAAATGAATTAGAAAATGATTATTATGAATTATTACTAGGTCCTATAGAAAAACAACCAAAAATTGAAGAATTATTTCAATTAAGACATATTTGAAATTAATATATAAAAAAGATTTTAAAAGTTTTGAGGTAATAAAATATCATAATCAATATATGACAAAAGAATCAGCTTGGAAAACAGAAAATGAAATAAATGTTGAACATTTTTTCAAATTTATAGCTAAATAAGTTTATGTAAAAGTATTTATCAATTAGGTATTCGAATGAAAAGTGCATATTTAACAAGAAATGTAAGATTAAAAATGTTTAATTAGTCTCATAAATAAATTTCTTACTTAATGTTAACGTTTTAAAACTATGCACGCTAATCAACGTAAAACAAAGGAAATAGTTCAAACAGATTTAAATTATATATTAACTGATCTTGTACAAAAAGAAGTTGAAAAAATTTCGAAAATTATTAATGACAAATTAAAGAATAATAATAATCAACAACGTCAGACTTATGCATCAACGGATTCAATTGATATAATTAATGATCTTATTGAAATTTGTGAAAGTATGTGAAGAGAATTTTTATTGTTTTGCGTAGTAAAAATTTAAATTTTTTCAATTGATTTTTATTTGTAAGTAAAGATGTGCAGGACATATTAGGGAAAGAATTAGAAAGTTGTTCTCACGAAGGAACCTTCCCAAATTGAAAATCGATTTTGAGTTTGGACTCTATGCATAAGATATTAACAGCTCCATAAGAATAAGGGCACACAGGCATTTTCTACAGAATTATAGCCGTTTTCTGAAAATTTCGCTCATAGATAGGCCTACGTGTAGTTCCAATGTCCTGAATATTTCAGCTCAACATAATGTTCTCTTCACGGGATACTCAAATCTTTCGTGGGAATATAAGTGATTTTTGGGATTTCAATATTTCGTAAGGAGAATATTTTGATCTGAAATTTTCAGATCAAAATATCATCTTTTGGTTTTTTTAGTACATACCTAGAACTAGAAATATATCCATTAAGCAAAGGTACATAACAGCGAAAAGTAAAATTGCGACAGACAAAATAATGAGAAGCGTTTCAGCGAATATTTTTCTTGACGAGGTGAATTCGGGTCTCTGTCTTCTTTTCAGGCACATCCTTCTGTACTTCTTGAAACCAATTAAATTTTATTTTCTATTTGTTTACAAATAAAAATTTCGCTATCAACATTTTTTGCTAGTTTGGAACGATACTAACACGAGTATTCATAGAAAGATACGGAACCATGTAATACGTCAAAGTATGAGGTTTTAAAAGTATGCTTGTTTGATTCCATAGACTAAAATATCAGTAACATGGCTATAACTCTTTAGAAAAATGCTAGATGTCCTTATCCCTTGAAGGTTTTTAATACTCCTTTGGGATCTACGTTAAACACAGAGTTTGAAATAAGAAAGAACTTTCAAGTCAGGAAGGTTTTGTTCGCAGTCACAGTACAGGGCACAACAATGTCTTACTCTTTATGTCTCTATTTATAAGTAAATTCAATATCTTAGCTTATATGAATATTTATTTAGATTATACTTCATTCCGAAAAATATCTCATGCACTTGACGTTATTTCGAAAGATTCTATACTAAGAAATATACTTCAAATGGTCATATGTCATGGTAATTTAGAAATGCCTGATCAAACGATTCAATCAAAAGAATCATCAAATACAAATATGTTTAACACAAGCAAAAAAACATATTCTAATTCATCTGATTCATCATATAATGATGTTATATTAGAAACAAAACCGAAAACAAAAACCATCTGAACCAGTGCAGTGGAAAAAGTCCTATCGGATAATTAACGATTTTACAACTTTCACTCCATTATAAGATTCGAAGTTAGCACACTCGATTAATCATAAATTTAAGCAAAATGAAGCTAAATTGTACGCTAGCAAACTATCTGTTGTTTTCTAGAACGATCAGATATACCATCCAACATCGAATTTATGTATGACATTATCAGATGATGAAAAACATATTCAAATGCAGATATACGATCTTAAACATAAGGTTGTCGAAAAAGAATTGGTTTATTATTTCATATTTTTATTTTATTTATTTATCCAACAGTTGCTATTAAAAGAAGTTGAATGAAAATATAATTTGAGTAAATTATTCTTTTAAAAAATTTAATTTACATGCAACCCTTTTTTCTTTTACAATCGTCAATGATAATAAGTACAAGTTTTTCGACGTTATTTTTAACTATCTTTTCATTTTCATTTTCATGTTAAATAGTTTTTTCCAACATTTTAATTTATCTCAATCATGATGTACTTAACTTGAGTTCAAAATTTGAAAATTTCGATATTACAAAATGTTTTACTGTGATTTGACTTGTTTTAGCAAAACTATACCATTCAAAATGGCAAATATGATTATGGTATGGAAAAATTGTTATTTGCCTATGGACGACATTAAAAAAGTGTTTTGACACTATCTTATCGGCATATATGTCGTATCGAAGTTGCACCGATCAAGGCAGTTGTTACCTCGATATAATCTATACGGAGTGTGTAAAAATATTTTTCGAGGGGCGTAACCTTGTGGTTTCAAATAACATCAACAAGTTTTATACAAAATTAAAGCACATCAAAAATGAGATTCACCAACACTAAATAGTAAGCGTTAGGGCAACTTTTCACTATCAAATTCAGAAAATGCCTAACATTTTACGCCATATCAGCAGAGAAAAATTTCTTTCGTGAGACAGTTCAAACTAGATAGCATTTAAAATTATGAATATCAAAAAGTACTTGATAGTTGACCTAGAAATATTGGAACAATAATCAAAAATGAATCTGGAAAGACGAACTATCAGACACACGGAACACAATCTTTTCCAAGAACTTCGTATTTGTCTCATCTTTCTGTTGTAAAAACGCTAATATATGTCATACTTACTATTGATTATGTTCATCAAGTCGTAAGAGACAAATATTAATTTTTGATCTTGATTATTTTAAATGAGATCTAGTTTGAACTGTCTCACGAAAGAAATTTTTCTCTGCTGGTATGGCGTAAAATTTTCGGCATTTTCTAAATTCGACACTGAAAATTTGCCATAACATTTACTCTTTGTCATTAATGAATAATATTTTTTATGCGCTTTAATTTGGTATTGCATTTGTTATTGATGTTATTTGAAATTACAGCGTTATTATCCCCCCCGGGAAAAATATTTTACGCAGCCTGTATATTGCTACTTTCAGTGAACATTTTCAAATAACAAGAAAAACGTCTGCATATTAATAATGTAATGATTCGGAAGTGATTCCTATCTATCGGTAATTATAAAACTCTATCACATCAGTGTACATGTTTCAACGTTCTACATGAATGCTCCCGCTATGGGCACAAATAGAAATCATGATAAAACATACATATTTCTGACTATATAAATAGTCAAATGTGCGGTATACCCTTGAGTGAGAAGCATATTTCATATAGATTCGACAGTTGTCGATTTGTTTTTTTTTTCTTGTTATTTTAGATAGTTAAAGTCTATACAAGAAGTGTTTAATAATTTGAATAATTGACGAAATGGCAGCTAAACCAGTCAAACCAACAGGCAAAGTTCAACTGAGTAACGAACATATGGAAGATCTCAAGAAAATGTTACATCTAAGTGAAGCAGAAATTCAAGAAAAACTCGGTCCGTATCTCGTAACATAGTTAGAATCTCAGTCATAAACCTCTCTAAAGTGACATTCATGATCACAATTAAATTTATGAGGAGTTGCTCTATTGAACCAGATAAAAATAATTAAATGCAAAATCTACTCTCAGAAAATTTTCAGTGACATTTTTTAAAGCTTTGATTCGAACTTCAGCTCATTACATTGTTCATTTGTAGAACACTTTCGTGCAACAGCACCCAAGGGTCAACTCACAAAAGAAGAGTTCATCCAATTGCATAAACAAATATCACCTGAAACCACTGATTTGATCGCTACTGATCTAGCCGAACGAGTCTTCTCATATTTCGATCGAGATCATTCGGGTAAGTTTTTTTGTAAGCAGTTTTTCTCTAGATGACCATTTTATTGTTATTGTTTAGGAAAAGTCGACTTTAATGAATTTCTGATGGCTACTTGTTTGATGACACCTGGTACGCCGACAAAAAAGCTTGCATTGATGTTTATTCTATGTGATTTCGATCACAATGGTTCTCTTTCACGAGATGAGATTGCAAAAATTTTTGTTGTATCTAAACCAGCTGGTACATTAGTCGATCATAAGGAATTTGAAGCATTCAAGAAACATGTAGATGCAGTCTTTGCACAATATGACGTGAAAAAAGATGGAAAAATTTCTCAAAAGGAATTCCATGAACTTTGTACTCATGACGAAGTTTTCAAAAAGCTGTTAGCCTGATTCATTTCAAAGTTGATAATTAAATCAAAATTTACTATTTAAAAACAATTCAAATCTTCAATAGAACTATTATTGAACTTAAACAATTTTCTCATTGTCACGTATTTGCTTTTGAAAATTAGATAATTCAGTAGATAGAAATAAATAAAACATACGGACTCAAGCGTCTTATCTTTTTTTCTTTCTCTAATATCAATTTATTTGATTTTACAGCACTAAAAAATGTCCGACTTTCTGCCAATATTTGCAAGATCGCGTTAACTTTAGACAAAAACGGATTTTAAAACACCATTTGCCTTTCTGTGATAGAAAATGAAATAAAAATAATCAGATAACGTCATTGCAAGGTGAATAGAATCACCCTATGTCTTTTGAATCGGCAAAAAACCGTCGGTTAACCGACGGTTCTTTATCATTACCCCGTTTCAACTTCTTTTATTCAGTAAGCACATTATATCTAATTTATTTTATGAACTAAAACGCAATTTAAATCTATTACTCCATACTTACAGTTGAATTAGCTGTGGAACGAAATCTAAATAAAAGAAAAGTTAAATTTATTCCTTTGAGTATCAATTATGATGATTACTCACAAAATATGAATACAGATTTTTTTTAATATATATCATAAGAAATATTTTAAAATCAACCCTACAACTTTATATTAATCGTTATAACAAACCTGAAGAAAAGCTAAGTTGACGAGCAGTTTTCTTATAAACTCAAAGAATACTTCTGCAATGTTCACAGGTCAGAATATGAATGTAATTAAACGGGTGACATGACAGTTTAGCCTCCCGATACTTGAACTTTCATCAATTAATCATCAAAGAAACAAAACGAATATTCAAGCATTTTGTTCAACTCAAAAGTCGTGGACATACATTTCCAACTACTTTCTATGATATTGAAGACTCGTTATATACGGTTTGTATCGATTAATTGTTTTCTTAAAATAGAATTTGGCTTGGAGATTTAGAAAATGTGCTATATTTGTCCATCGAACAGTTTAATTTTGTCACATATCAATTTTGTTGGTGACATCACGATTTTCAGGTTAATTTTTGAGCAACTAGTTTTTCATTTTCTTTCAGAGTTGTAATAAAGTTATTTATACTACTTGATAGACAAGATTTCGAGGTATAGTTAAGTATATTTAAATCTTGAAAAAGTGTGATTTTCAGTTTTTTACGAAATGTCTACCTAGATGCAGACGTTAGCTTCCTTTCTCGATTCTTCTGAATTGCTGATAACCTTGTGTGGAGTAGAACAAATCGTTTCTCTCCTCAATGATGAGAAACTTTTATGAAAACAATGATAAAAGACAGTCGTATACCCAGTGAGACACAGTTGGAGTCCTAGAGTCAACTATTATGGCTAGACTCAATCACCGTCAATGTGGCATGGAAAATAACGATTTTCTATGAAAATAGCTTTTTTCAGTGATTTAATCGCGAAAAAATCGTCGATTTTTGTGTAATTTCTATCACATGGAGAACTATGATAGAATTTGTAAGGAAATTATTTTTTATTTATTTTTTATTTTTTATAAAATAACAATTGTTGAGATGTATTCTCTATTTTTTGCTATAAGACACTATTTAGAGTTTTCGACACAGTGTATATTCATGATAGTGATAGTTTAAGAGACTTGTAATGCCCTTTTAATCATTATCTCGTATTATATCTTGAAGAATAATGTAAAATATTGAGGATACTATTGCAGAATAGGTACACCGATATTGCTTCATGTATACAAGGTAGAAAAAAAAAATCTATTGATGCGAGACATAATCAGTATATTGTGACGATGGGAGTGTTTCTATTGTGCATTAGTACCTCCCAATTGTAAGAGTTCTATGATATATTCAGTTTCATTTATCTTTTTCTTATTTTCCAGTCAAACAGAAATCTCTTTTCAATAATCGACAATATTTATCAAATGAACAAGATTTTGAATTTACTGAAACAGCCATTCAAACAACTAATGATTACGATAAACAAACGAACCGACTTAAACATCAAGTTGAAATTGATTGTGTTTCATGGAAAGTTTATGTTAAGAAATTAATTCAACTTATTGAACAATATTCATTACAATCTGAAACACAACAAAATAATAAACGAACATTCAATCAATTTTCATCCATGAAAACATCGTGTAAAATTCAAGTTTTATATTTATTCATTTGAATTTATTTTCGTTTAGATTCTAATTCATTCGTATGTAGACGTATTCGTATAACCTTTTCATCAAGTAGTTCTGATTCACGAGGGAATATTCCAAAGTGATTCGCTCTATTTTGATTCATTCATACCTCATTAGATAGAGTATAATGAGATAAGAAAAAGTCTCGGAGTGGGTGGGTATGGGTATAATTGAAACGAGTTCTGACATCGATATCCACACCCACACTCAGTAGAATCGACAAAATATTCCAGAAAAACTTGGAATATTATGATGTCGAAAGAGTAATTCAATAAAGAAAAAGGACCGATTCAGTCATTCAAGATGTACATATATCTCCCTTCTTACAACAAGCTAATCGTAAGTTTTATTCAAGAAAACAAAAATTTCTCTCATCACGTTGTTCTCTAAATCAAATATCAAGAGTTACTTTCTTAACTATTTTTGATGATCAATTACGTTAATGCGGTCACAATCCATCTTACAAAAAAGAGTCAGCAAATACCGACACAACATCTGTCATATAAAATAAACATAAAATGATAGATCAACTAACTTTGAAGACACTTCCTAGTTTCAAGATCAAAGTTTATGATTTTCTTTGCAAGAAACAACTCTTATAAAGAATATATTAATTGTTGTCCAGTGTTAGAATGAACGAATAAAATTCTAAGATGTACAATTAAAAATTAGATAAACTTGTATTTTAGTGACTAAAGTAGACTCTTATGAATGCTCATTCAACTAGATAAGCAAAATAATAACTCAAAAACAAAATACGATCGAAGGAAAGCAAGACTACAGAAATATTTAACCACTAATAGTTGAATTATTAACAGATACAGAAATATAAATGAACTAAGGTATTTGGAATATATTTACAGTTGTTTTGTAGAATTAGTACTTTATAATTTTTGAAAAAAGATTGCTTATATGTACCGATATGAAAGTTTTATGTCTTTTGTTCTGTCAATTTTCAACTTTTTAATCTACAACACTGTGAAGAATCATGACTCACGCACACATCATCACAACAGGTGTGAGTGTTTCAAAACGAATTTTATGAATGGAGACTTGGACAGTTTCGGGCTGAGAATTTCGCCTGTTGTATCGATTACACGTTTATTTAAACATTGTCGAATGATTAACTTTGTTTTGAAGGCGTGCTAAACCTTGAAACTTGAAATTTCAATTGACTTCAAGTTTGACATTACTGCATCGAAAGTGTCTAATTTAGGCGAAAAAAAAATTTTTTTTTATCACTGATAAGAAACAAAATAAATGCGAAAACCTCGGATTTAAATCCGAGTGTTATGTGTACTTCAAAAAGTGAAAAGGTATATTCACTGTATTTTTTATCACTAAATTGCAAGGAGAAAATACAGACGTGCTAAGTTAGCATGGACCATACTGTATGCGACCCTATCCAGTGACCACTGACTCTACTCTCACAGTGATATTATATCTTTAGAAATCACAGGAATTGAGTTCAGATTCGTGTTTAGCTTGGAAAACTGGGTAAGAAGAGTTATTTTTGAATGGATTTGCGTTTGTATCTAGTAAGATTACGATCGTAAGCAACCTCATCAATCTATAAGAGATATATATCATAGATACAGGCATCACTATTTTCCTAATAAGTCACCAATATTAATAGCTATCGAGTTCGAGTTTTTACCTTTCGATAGTTCTTTTGACTACCTACAAAATCAGGCATTTGGGAAACCCCAAAACTACTGGTCATCTGAGACACATCTAGGCAATTTGCTTTCTCAATGCAGTTTTTCTGCATTTTGAGACCTTTTTCAAGCGATATTTTGTTAGAAAGCTACTATTCGGTTCAAAACTAATATCAGATTCGGAATCACCGTTAAAAACTGAGTCGATATATATATGTTGTGAAAAATTCGGAGAAGAATATTTTTTTATTGAAAAAATCCCTGCCTGTACCCCTCCCCCCTCCCCCCCTCCCCCCCACAGGGATGGTCTGGTCAATAATGACAATTTTTTCGATAACTCAGCCATTTCGTGACGGATCCTTCTCATCATCTAACTCGACCGAGACATTGTTAAGACTGAACTGTCTAGAAAATTTCGTCATGATCTGACTCTCCTTTCGAACGTTATCGTGTATACGGACGGCCGGACACATTGACCAATTCTAGAGTGTACTCACTTTTTGAGTACACAAAAACTTTGTCAAACAGACATATGAAGACCCTAGGTGTGCACATTTAGTTTCGTTGTGTATGCTTTTATCACCACAGAATCATAGAAACGAAGAAAACAAAGAGGTATGTAAAATGAATATTGCACAACACACTTTATTAAATGTTGAATGATTGTTATATAGTGTGTTTTTGTAATTTTATCCTGGTTGAAATAATGTCTATGTGTCTATTTAATTCATTTCCAGTCGAAGTAGTTCATAATATTTTTCATTATCTATGGTCCCATGAAAGGGTGTGGGTGTGGGTGTGGGTGTGGGTGTGGGTTGGGTGTGGGTGTGGGTGTGGGTGTGTGGGTGTGGGTAAGGGTGCCTTCACCTCATCCACACCCACACCCACACCCACACCTACACCCACACCCACACCTACACCCACACCCACACCCACACCCACACCCCACACCCACACCCACACCCCACACCCACACCCACAC